CCAAATTATAATCTCCGGCCATCGACAAGGCAAGCTACTCTTGTCCTCAACTTTGAATCTCCACTGCCTGATCTTCCATCAAAGATGCCGCTCTGCCCCACAGTTTTTCGTCCCCCATCCACATCGAATATGTCTGAATCTGTCTTCTCTTCATCCGATGGCACCAGCACCACAGCCACCAGTGTTTCCAAGAGCAGCCAAATTCAAGTGGAAGTGACTCAACCAGAAGACACAAGAAGAGCTTACACTTACAACGCCTCTTCCTGGAAACCTTCTGCAGATATTACCCCATCTGGATCACTTTCGTACACAGCATAAAACTGATTCAGAGACTATCAGACAGTAAAAATTAAAAGGTGTTGATGTATTTCAGGTGCATTAGACATCTAAGATCCTACTTTGCTTTTGGAAAAAAAAAAAAAAACCATCTGGGAAGTCCAAAACAATGTCTCTCTCTCTCTTTGTTTGTTGTTTTTGGCAATAAATGGAAAGGACCCTTGTTTCTTTATGCTGTTGTGATATTATTTAAATTTGTCTACAAACATTTTTTTTGGTTTTTCATGGTTTGATTGGTGCTTAATTGTAAGGAAAGGGGAAGTTGTACCGGCAGAAGAAGTCCTGGAGGTAGCTAGACCAAGTCCATTACCAGATTGTCCAGCATACGGCATCTCAAGCACCAAGAGCCCAACAGTTATCTGTATATCTTTCATTAGTGTATATATCTATTTTTTTCATAAATATATAAATAAATAATGGTGCAGCATGAGTTAGGGCTCAAAGTAGCCCCTTTTCCACTTATGGTACAATTTTTTACTGATGAAAGTGGCTGCCGCATCCAAAACTTGCCGTTCCACTTGTGGTTCACAACAATAGAACGTGTCATGCTTATGTTCGTGTTCTGTCGGTATCTGTTCAACTTGCATTGTTTTGAATAACTTAAGAGTAAATATAGGATACACAGGTACTAAAAAACTAGACAATCTAATAAAATGGTAGTTCAAAATTATTAATGGAAGTGACCATGTGACACAAATGTGGTCTTTTCAATTATAAATTTTTATGGACTATTCCGAATTAAATTGTAAAATTTAATGATTAAAGTAAAACTACAGAAGGAATAAGAATTAAAGTGAAACAAAAACAATTAATTTATGATTAAATTTTGCAAAAACAAATACATGAGAGACTTTTATGGTATGTTTGGTTGGAGGAATGAACAATAAGAGGTATAGAAAGAAAGAATGAATGCATTTTCAATCATTTGATAAAGGAAAGATGTTTTTCCCACTTCTTGTTTGGTAAGAATGTGGAAAAGTAAAAAAAATAATTTTTTTATTGAATTATACATATGAGAAAAAATTAAAATTAAAATATAATTTACGTGACTACCCTTGTAATTGTATAAAATTATGGAGTTAAAAATATCCTAACGTCCCACCACATTTCTGGTCTGCTTTTAAAAAACCTAAGAAGTGTCCGTGTGGACCCCTCGTTCTAATCACTTTCCATCACTTCAAGGGGCATTACGGTAAATCCATGTATTGCCTAACTTTTTCAGCCATTTTCCGCCCAAATTTGGCCGTATTAAAAATGGTGGGCGGGAGGAATCCTCTTTCCATCACATTTTCCCTTCTTCTCTATTTTACTTCTCAACCAACCAAAGAAAAATTTCTCTTTCCCCTCCACTGTCCAGCCATCCAATTTTACCTCATACCAGACAAGGGGGTTAACCTACGACTTGACTACGGTACTAACAAAAAAAGTTCAGTACCATATCTCTAAATTTACTATTTTAAAGGATAATTTTATAATTTTTGTAAGTTATTTTATAATAAAAAAATTTATTATTTTTGTGACTATATTTATCACTGTTGTAGATGTTATTACCTATGTTATGAGAGCTATTTTTACTATTTTTTTGGTTACAAAATTTTTTTATCACTTTTATAAATATTTTTACCACTGTTGTGGTAATTATTTTTATCATTTTTTTCGGTACTTTAACAATGATAAAAACATTCACAACGGCTGAAAAAATATTAACAAATATAGTAAATTTCATGATGGTTCTGAAATTTTATTTTTTGGTACCTTATACAACTCCCTTAACCTAGTAGGGCCCTATTTTGCTGGTTTTGGGGTGATATAATATTTTCTATCTTTAGTTGAGGTAGTTTGATCGTTTAATAGATAGTACAATTATATATTAATTATGATTTTTTTTAAAAAAATTTGATTGTAAAATTTAAAATATTTGATATTATATTTTTTATTAGAGTATTTTTTATCTAAATATAACATTTTAAATTTGAGAGGTTTAAATATTACACGAATATAAACTTTTGAGGGTTTAGGTGTAATTTATTAACATATATTCTAATGCACCATAGGGTCTAAGTGTTATGCGAGTACAAATTTTAGAGGGTCTAAATATAATATTTTAAATATAAGAGAGTTTAAGTGATTAACTAATAAATTTTAGAGGATATAAATGTAATTTTTCCAAAAAACTTTTTACCACCATGGTCGGGTTGAGGTCAAACTCACCCTTGAATTTGGTGAAGCTCTGATATATGGGTTTGAGGGGAGTTGTTTATTGCGGGTCAGAATTTAAATTCCGGGTCTGAGAACTACATCTAAATATGGATTATGGTAGTGGATATGTAGAGAAGATAGATCATATTTATCGCATATTATTGTTCTTCAACATCACATAACTATTTTTAAGAAAACTTATTGTACCTGCGTCGGATTGAAGTTAATGTCTCGTCATCATGTATTTTTAATATTAAAAATTAGATTTAGTCTTACTGAATTGTTCTAACTATGGCACACTGTACTATTGGAAAGTCCACCAGGTCAAGCTGTCTTGATTTGAATATTTTTTCAATATTTAAATAACATCCAAAGACACGGTGCACTTTCTTTGACCGGATCGTGCACGCAACATTATCTTCTATGCGGCAAAAAGGTCTTCTTGAAGAATATAACTTCGGTGCGGTTTGGTTGCCAATAAATTAAATTTTTTATTAATAATTTGAATTCGAATTTGATATTTTATATTTTTATGGATTCGAATTATGATATACTTATATTCAATTTGATTATGATATAATTCAATCCGAATTATTTATATATTTTTATATAAATTTTAAAGAAACGTAGTTGAAATTTAGGTATAATTTGTTAAAATTTTGTTAATTAAGTAATTTGAAGCATATCAAAATTTTAAATTGTTAATAGATTTAGATATGAACCACGAAAATAAAATTTATCTAATTATCGGATTCGAATTAGACTTTTGAAATCGAATTCAGATTTAAATCAGTCAAAATTTGATCCATTAACAGGCCTATGCGCGGTATTAAAAAAATAAATTTATCGTATTGAGTTTTTAGGTGATTATAAGTTTCAAATATGTGTACTGGGCTGGTTGTGTTATATTCCCCTATTTTTTAATCATTTGATATTAAAGTTGAAGGATTGGTGTGCGGATTCCAACACCTAGGCGTGTTAGCTTTGACTTGTTGACACGAGCAATTATAAAATTGAAACGATTATTAAATACGCATAATAAATAGTTTAGACTAATGTTTAATATTCAGAATCTATTAAATATATTTTTTTTTGTGAGTGTTGATACGAACACGACACGAATAACACGACATATAAGACATACGAACACGACATTATTGACCCCCAACACCCATAGAAAAGGAGAGATCCGGTGTTTTCCTTACCAAGTCATTAGTAAAAGATGGTAATTTGTTCTTAGACGTGACAATTTAATGACCGGATTTCAATCTCAACCTCTCTCTCTCTTTAGTTGTATTCAAATAACTTCCCCAAAGAACTTTCCGTTAGAAAAATAAAACTTTTCATTGTCCGTAAACTAATCTTCAACAACATTGCATTTGTCAATGTGCAAGATAAACTAAAAGAACATCATCACATAGAATCTCAAGACTGATAGCTATTTTTAACAAATTTGGAGAAAAACCAAATTGGGTAGAATTGCAGTCCAAGCAAACACAAGGTTTGTTGTCAAACTATTTATTTGGAATTTTTCAAGAAAATTTATAGGTACTTGTAGATCATTTCGAATTTCTCTATCGCATATATGTAAGTTGACAAATTTCTCAGCGTTTCAAATTGTTTAGGTACCTGTTTCAAATGCCAATTAATATTAGCTTTGATTTCTGGCTCTTTTGCTTATCTAANAATAAAACTTTTCAACATAGTAATGAAAAAATGCAACATAGTAATGAAACTTAAAGACATTTAAGATAAACTAAATGAGTTGGGTCATGATCCTTTGAAAATCGGTGTTGGCATGACTCTGAGTTTCAAAGTACCCTATTCCATGACGTGGGTCAAGGCTATTGAAGCTGATAATTAATCTAGGCAAATTATGTCCACCTTAATTAATTTCCTTCTTGATTCAGTTAAAGACAAATCATCTACGTCGAGACTAGTGTGTTTTGCCTGAACCTAAAAGACATTTCCGTTTTAACTGCTCCATCGCTTGTAGCTGAAATGTTTCGGTTTTTTCCGTTACAATCTAGGCTCCATTGATTGTACATAAAAATCTGTTAGCTAAAATTCCACAACAACTGTATTGTAATTCGAATGATTTTTACTATCTAAACGAAAATTTCATTTTTCAGCATGTACAGGTTGGTTGATTAACTTTATCAAGACAACAGAAAATTGAACACGCATATTTTAAACACGGCCATCAAAATTGAACACGCGTATTTTGAACACGCGCCACCAGTGCAAAAGCAAAGATTTAGCATTACAAAATAAGGCTAATGTAACATTTTTTTTTCAGGAATAACAGCACATATAACCTCCATATAAGTTCCATTTCTCAACATAACATGTACTCAATCTTACAAGAACTGAATTGAACTATAACGAAATCAACATCGTATTAAGCTTTAAACAACAAAACGAAACAACTAACATATAGTTCCACATCACCATCGTTTTCAATGTCATCTCTCGTCATCCATGGCTAAAAGTTCACTATGCAACTTCTGTAGGGAAAGAGCAAGATGGTCATGCTTCCTTTTTGAATTTTGTCCTTCTTCAAGAACTCTTAAAAACTCCACCATCAAATTGTTTCCCATCAAAGTAGAAGAAATTTGGGTGTTTTCTTGTTTCACATCAAACTGTTTCTCATCATGTGAAGCCTGGTCCTTTGCAAATATTGTCCATCTTCGAAGCACATACTTTTGAGGGAGATTATCAACAAGAGATTTTTTAACAAAAACTGCAAGAACATGCATACAAAGAATTCCGACAAATTCAAACATTTTGCATGAAAAAACTGCCTTATTTTCAAAAACATCCAACACCAAGTGATATACTGGATCTTCTTTCCTGCTTGTCACCACCCTATATGCTTTCATTGTTCCTTCCTCGTGATATTTAGAAGCCTTAAACTTTTGACTTTAAAACAACTCCACTTGGAACAACAAAAATAATTTCCTAGTATAAACTTTTGCCACTTCAGCCTCCATGTTGTAGCATGTTTTCAGAATTGCTATTGTGGTTCTCGTTTTCACATCTTCATCCTTCTCACTTTGATAGCTTTTGTCCACTGCTTTCTCATATTGGTAAACAAAATCACTTGCCAATGTGCTAGAATGAACAAAATCTTTGAAGAATTTGTCTATACTCTCACTTCTTTGTGTTGTCGACATCCCAGCACAAAACACTTTCCGTAAATAAGCTGGAATCCATTTTCACGGTGCACGTATAATTCCTTTAACCAATCAATCTCCTTTAAATCATAGTTGCAAATCAATTGGGTCCATTCCTTTTCAAATTCTTCTATTGTGACTGTGTCATGAATGCAATGGTGAAAGTCTTCTTGAAATGTGGGATACTTATCTAAAACATGAGCGAAATGTTCAGGAAGTTTTTGCAAGATATGCCACATGCAAAATAGGTGGGTCGCTTTGGGTAATACCTCTGCAATAGCCTTTGCCACAGCTTTATCATCATTTGTAATAATTATAGTTGGCGTACGTCCACACATTGCCTCAAGCCAAGTGCTTAGCAACCATACATAAGATTCTATTGTCCCATTCCCAAGTAAAGCACACCCAAACATAGTTGGTTGGTGATGGTGGTTAACTCCAGTAAACGGACTAAATGACATACCATAACAATTAGTTAAGTATGCAGCATCAAATGTCACCACATCTCCAAAGTATTGGTATGCTAGCCTTGACCTCGCATCTGCCCAAAAATAATTTCCCACACAGTTATTTTCATCTACTTGGATAGCGTAAACAAAACCTAGATTTTGTGACTGCCTCTTTAAGAAGTAGTTGTACAATCTTTGTGCATCACCTTCTTTTGAAAGCTTTGTCCTTTTATGTCCCAAGTAGTTTTGGACATCGATTGTAGCACCATCTACATTACAATCACCACCAGATTCTTGGCTCAATACTGACATTATTTTTCTAGTAGCTACCCCCACTTTGTTAAGCACACCAATAAGATTTCTCTGCACTGGAGTTATTTTTCTCTGTCCTCGAAGTAACAATGTACTTTCTGGAGACCATAATTCATGATTATGCTCAGTTATAAACTTATGTGCAACCCATTTCCCCTCATTTCTTCTCAAACTCATCATAGTTTTGCATCCAATCATAGTCACATCACGACTTACAACATTTTTATTATTTTTTATTATTTTTTTTGATAACTCAGACGACGATATCCTTTCCGATAACAAGCATATTCTACTCCAATCAGTGACTTATCAACATTAGAGAGTCGAGTATGACTTTTTCGAATACTAAAACCCTATCCCTATCGCCTTGCATATGCTTTGTACCAGGTCATAGCATCTTCTAGTTCTTCAAAAACCATGCCCATACATGGCTCTGGAGGACCATTATATGGCAAAGATCTTATAGGGCGACATTTTTTATTCTTTGGCACCTCTAAATTGTTTATATTATCCACTACTACTGGCTTGGCAAAGGAATCTTTTTCCAAGTAGTCATGAGATGAATCCATGTCTACAGCTCTACTTGATGCACTTGTCATACCAGTTCTGCAATAAAAAAACTTGAATATTCAAGACTCATATGGGAGAAAAATAAAGGAAGAATGTTAGATCTAACATGTTTACCTCCATTAAAACAAAACACAGATTTCTCTACTAAGAAGTGAGAAAAATATTGGACAATAAGGCCATTGCCAGTCGTCACGTGTAAATTTCACACTTGCCAAAACAAAAAAATCAATAGGTACATGCTCACATAGTCACACAAACAAAGATTTGTCTCTGTGTGTTTGCCCGCAAATTGAGTTTATTTAATCACTTAACCGCAAAAGTCCACCTCATCAAATTGTACTGCCAGGCACATGTTTAAAGATTGCTACAGGATGTAATTCTTTCTTCATGACAATATATTAGTGCACAATTAGCTTCAAGCCATCAAAGGTGCACATTAGATAATAGGAGATGGTGCTTGTGCAACAAACTTCAAAGACTAAGGACGCGGAAAGGTTAATATGCTAAGTGAATCAAGCCCGAACTTATATAAAGAGCATCGTCCCAAATTGGGACTCAAATCAGATAAAAACTCAACACCAATTTCATAGAAGGGAGTGAAATCAAACCCATATCAAAAGTAACATAATCCACATAAACAGAAACCACAAATCTGAAAAAAAGTACAAGTAGCATGATCATGCTAAAGAGAAATGACTAAAATAACAAACTTACGGGAATATACGCCAGAGTACTTGAACAGTAGATCCACAATAAACCCATCTGACATTCTGTTATCTTGGTAATGGTATGCGCCATTCCGGTAATTTTGTATGATTAAGACGCTTTACTGTTTGTAATATATTGTGACTGGATATTTGCTAAGGTGCTAAGAGATGATTGGCTGCCCGTAAAACCGTGAACAATTTAATCTCTTTTTGAAAACATCGTAATACTAAGGGCATCTCCAATGTGGACCCAAACTTAAACTCAAATTTGAGTAAAAAACTTTATTTGATATCAACTCCTCCAATGAAAAAATCTAATTTCATACCCAAATCTTTTAAAAAAATTCCTATATTGTCCTAAAATCTATTTTCTTTTATTTTTTTTCCCTCTCCAACCTTCATCGATTCCCAGAAGGCCAAAAACTAGAAGCTTTATTGATGTCGACAATACCAAAAACTCAAAGCTTCAACAAATTCAAAGCATGTTGATAACACCAAAAGACCAAATCGCCTCACCGCAGCTTGGTCAGTGGTTTTTGAGTTTGAAGTCGAACTAGGTCCATCAAATGGCATGGTTGATGGGGAGATGAATAGGGTTAGCATTAGGGTTTTGTTATGGGTGCTGTGAAGGGAGGAGTGGCCGGTGGTTTGGTGGGGAAAACCTGGTTTGCAGACCACATTGCGAAGAAGAGGACTTTTGTTGGATTAAAAAATTTTGAGTGAAAGGTTTAATTCTCCCTCAATTTGAGTCAAGAAAAAGTTTTCCTTGCTTTAGTATAAAGCTTGAGTCAAAGATTGGAGAGAATTTTAGAGCCTTTTTACCTAAATTTAAGTTTGAGTTTGGTTTTGGGTAAGGAGCGGAGATGGCATAAGAGTTCCTGTTATAATTGGGGATAGGTATACAGCGCGGATTGGTGGGGTGGGTTGAGAGATCAGCAGGTTAGAAAGCCCTTGACCGAGCTCAATTTGAATCCAACATCCAACCCGAATCCTTTAGCCCCAGTACTATCCATGCTCAAAAATTTGGAATTCGAGCTGAACTCAGGGTTACACAAGTCAGACTAAAACTCCATTTTTTTTGGGATCTAAACTAGCTGTTAGCTATGCAACTCGAATTGTCAGACCAAACAAAACAAATGCATAGACTAAGTCTTGAAACAAACACAACCCCTCAAGGGGAAAAAACACAAAAATCAAGCAATACTAACCTAGATAACCAAAGAACATCGCATCAATCAAACAAGGTTGAAATTCAGTATAGTAATGCACATATATTGCTTCAGGCAATTGGGCTAAAAAGAACCAAAAACTAAAATTTCTACACAAAATATTCTGCAGTGAACAATTACACAAATACTAAGAAACTCAGAACTATAGTGAATTGAACCATAAGCATACCATAACCAGAGCGTAGGAGTAGAGTGAGAGAATTAGAAAGGCCAGACGGACTATAATAATTGCTGATGCTGGCCTTTACGCTATTTTCAAATGAGAAGAGAATTGTTGAGAGTGCTTTCAAATTGAACATAGGGGAATCAACTTCATTTGAGTTCTCTGTGCGCCGGAAAGGAGAGAGAGAAGGGGGAGATGAAACCAATGAGGGTGGCTCGACAGTGTGATCTCTTGCTGGAGATCTCTGTGCGCCTACAATGGGAGAGCATAGCATTACTCTTAATTTTATTAATTTAGTTCAAAAATTTTAATTCACGTTATTTTAGTCCATAATAAGACAGCTCATCAATTTTTTTTTGTGATAAAAATGACCATATGTCATATTTTCATAAGAGATCACCTCCGGGATACACACGTGATCATTCTATGAAAAATTTAAGATTAATTATATTAGAAGTCTCTAAACTATAAAATTTATCTTATTTTGACCTCCAATATTTAAATTGTACTATTTTAATCCTTAAAATATTGAATATGTTTTTATATAATCTTTCAAACATACAACGTTTAGATTATTAACAATTTTTATTATAAATTTGTCGCATAATATCTAAAATGGGTAAAAAAATAATTTAGATAAAGACAATATGGAGTAGACTGGCTGCTATGGCTGGTTTTCAGCTTACTCAGAGGGAGTTGCCATTAGTCAGATTCCAGAGGTTGTGTAGAGTATTTAGAAGGAGATCGTTGGGTTGCTGTCTGAGCAGAAGCTGTGCTCTGTTAGTGTATTGGTTGATCTGGAAGGAAAGGTGTAGGCGGTAGGGCAGGGGAAGGTAGTTCAAATTCGTATTCGATTTTACTAAAAATATGTAGTATTTCGAGATTCCAGGCTAGAAACGTGAGGCCTAAGGTGATGGATGGTGAAAGGGGCAGGAGCTTTTTGCAATTGTTAGGCGTAATTATGCCTTGTGTGATCAGAACTAGGGCTGTCTGGGTGTGTTGGGAAAGGCCAGCAGCTGGTTGTTTGAAACTGAATGTGGATGGGGCTGCAAAGGGCAATCCTGGGCGTGCTGGAGGGGGTGCAGTTTTAAGGAATGAAGGGGGTGGTGTGGTTTTATCTGCATCTTTTTTTTATTATATTTGTTCGAATATGGAAGCTAAATTTCGGGCAATGTTGGATGGACTGAGTTTGGTAGAAAGATATGGCTTGACTAGTTATAGAATTCTGATTGAGTATGGTTTTGGTGAAGATAATTCAAGGAGAGATGAAGTGTGCTTGACAGTTCAGTGTTCTGCTTGTGAATATTAGGCAGATTTCGGAAAGCCTTCAGTATCAGTTAACCCATGTGTATAGGGAGGCCAACTCTGTGACTGATAGACTGGCAAACAAAGGAGTGCTGGATGGTTTCTCAACAAAATTTTCAGGGTCCAGTCCCTTGCCTACTTCTGTGAGGTTGAGTCTGTTTCAGGATCAAACCTGTTTGCCTAATCTGCGAACCAAGACTAATCTGGTGTATGATGATGGCGGCTAATGGAGCTACAGCAGGCATATTAGTAGAAAGTTTGTGGATAAAGGCTTCATGGAAATAATGTTTTNAAACAATTAATTGCACCATTCCCTTGATGAGACCGCATTCAATGCGGTAAGGCTCGGAAATGAAAGGCAATAAATGCTCCTGTTACAGAGCATTTATTACATCCCCCCCGAGAGGAGCACATTGTACCGTCGGCATCCCGACGACCCAGTATTGATTGCTCGGGACCCCGAGCAGTTAATAAGAGAAGACATTCCTCATCAGAATCAAATGTACACGCTACCTGTGCCTAATGATCACCTACTGACCGCACTGACAGCAATCATGAGCTTTTAAGGTATAAATACTCCTTGCAAAAGGCAGAGCGGGTATGCAACAACAAACTCTCTACTACAATAAACACTGCACACCTAGTGTTTTCTCTACTCTCTCTCTCTCTCAAAGACTGACTAGATCGTCAGAGGGGATACGCCGGAAAACACTCCGGCGCCCTTCTAACTTGTTCTTCTTTGTTCCAGGAATCTCTTTCAGCCTTACAGGATCGTTCTTCCTTTCCCAGGATCTCTCGTTGCCGTTCCGGGTTACTACCGTACTTTGCAGGCTGTTCCAAGCAGCGTGCTTGTTCACTCAACCGGCCCACTCGAAGTTCACCACGGAAGAGATCTATTCTCGTTTTTTATATTGTGCAGGATCTTGCACGCACAGTTTTTGTGTGGTTTAAAAATATAGTTAAGCAAACATCTAACCCAGATAAAACATGACGTCAAATTTAACCCAGAGAAATATAAAATTATTTGAAAGAGATTCTAAAATTGTTATAGTACTACAACTTGTTCTTGTTTTCGGGCTTAATACAATACTTTTGGTCCTTAAAGTATGTACGTTTTATCAGTTTAGTCAATAAAATATTAATTTTATTAATTTAGTCCATAAAATATTTAATTCGTATTTAAATAGTCCCTACACAGATGAACCGTTAAATTTTTGATGAAATGATCACGTGTTGAAAACGTGATACTATCTAAAAAAATGACACCTAATCATTTCCGTTAAAAAACTTAATGAATTATCTGATTATGGACCAAAATGACACAAATTAAAAATTTTGGGACTAAATTGATAAAATTAATATAATAAATACCAAACTAATAGAATAAGCATACTTTAGAGACTAAAAATATTATTAATTCAAAGTTTTGAGGCCCAAAATATTTCTTATGGTTAATAATGGCCTATGCCTTCGGCTGACACTGTATGTTGTTGTAATGATGGTAAAGGTGTTAGTTGCGTGGAATTATCTCATTATGAGATTTTGTTATACTCTGTGACGTATTGTGCCATTTGGTAGTTCGTAATATGTGGGAATTTACCAGTGTCAAGCGTGAATTAAACACATACTAACCTTGGACCCATTGTCTTTGAACCAACGTTCTCTCTCGTGATTCATGTGACACTGATACGTTATTCGGTTTGTGTCATGTTCGGATCATGTTATTTCAAATTTATGCTAGTATAACTCGTGAATAAGAAGACCCATTTTCGATATGATTCAACTATTATGTGTTGTAATGGCTACAGAGGTGTCAATTAAGTGATGTTGTACCATATTCGGATTGTGTTACATTGTCATTTTGAAGATATGTTGATGCTAGTGTAACTCGTGGATTAAAAAAGTAAAACTCTGATCCCTTTTTCTCATAATTCATGTCCTATTCCAACTAATCAGCATATGATTCAACTCTACATTATTGTATTAACCATAGGGGTATCCATCAGGTGGTGTTATATTTCCTGTAAAAGTTGTACCACATTCGTGTCGTATTATTTTAGATTTGTATTATGTTAATGTAGTGTTACGATGCCCAAAAATCATTAAAAAATAAAAAGGATGAATCAAAAACCACGAACCAAAGTCTCCTTTACTCTCGATCAAAGTATACTCTCTCTCATTGTTCATATAGTATTACAACCAATCGAGTGATGTTATGTTATGTTTGAGTTGTATCAAATTGAATCTGTGTGGGATTTGTCCTATGCTAAGTTTGGATAGTATCAAATTGTATCATTGTCATTTAAGATTCGTATCATATATAATAGCGTAACTCTAAAACTGTAAAACTCTCTCCTAAACCATTTCTGGTTGTTATATAATAGATATACAAAATATCTAATCCTTAGGGGTAGGGGTTGAGCCTCACTTTTGGTAATCCAAAAATCTCACCTTCAATTTCTTCTTATATCTCTTAAGGACTAGTCACTCTTATTCTTTTAGGAATATGCCCTAACCAAGTTCAATTTACGGTGATTAGCTGCTAAATTCAATAGAGTAATCGGCACAAATCTAAACATCCTTTACAACTTGCAAATCACATTAAATAGTTATCTTGAATGATCCTAGTACAAACTAGGCATAAATAAATCAAGTAATCACAACCCCTAAAATCAGACTTTTTTGTAGTTAAATATAAATAGGAACTCTCAAGTGTGAACACACATTAATCTTTGATTTAAATAGTAACCCCAAGTGTGAACACAGCCATATTACATTTGACCTTGTCATTTAAATAGGAAACACTGAAATGCCATCTTTAGATTTAAATAGGAAGTCTCAGGTGTGAACACAGCTTTAAGTATACCATGAATCTCTGATACAATTTGTTAATCACTTTGTCTCTCATGGATCATAATACACATATCCCTCTTGGGGAATTTTATTTTCTGACAAGATTCCACAAAGTATCATATAAAAGTACCACTATTTATTTCTACTTTAAAAAATACATATTACATGTTTCGGGTTTTAAAAATCAGTTTCTCCGAAATAGATATAAGACTGACTACCACTTTCATTGCTCACTAAAAGCGGGATCTCTATTTGCGATTTCTTTTTAAAAAAAATAGGGAATAGTCAAAGTAAATTTACTGGTGATATTAACGAAATTTCAAGTAATTTGGTCAGTGAGTCGAATTTGAATTTGATTTTGATCAATTCAAGTCTAATTTTAACTCTCATTCGAAGCCGATCTAATTATCCTAGTGCTTTCATTTTTGCAATTCATATCTGAATTGATTAAAAATAAAAATATCTAATTTGAAAAATTCAACTAAGACGAATTCTAGCAAAAATAACAAGCAATGATTTAAACTTGGCTGTCATGACTTGTCATTGGAGGCCAACTATGACATAGTTGTCCAAACCTGTTGTTGTGCTCATGGCATCATCTGGCCTAAGCAAGCTACTCTATTAAAGTCCAAAACCATTATACTACAACATAAGCAACAGACGGAATGCCATCTATAGATAAAACATAAAAATAAGAGAATACACTAAATAGATCTTAACAATTAAAAGTGAATACATGAGAAGAACAAAGACTTATGGTTCAAAGTACCGGTTAATATCAATATGATTTGATGAGTCGTATCCAACTTGACATCTTTCAAGACGATACTATTATATGATATATATAAATCTCGAATCTCGTACGACTTGATTGAGTTTTGCACAACTCGGCTGAGTCATATCTAGGTTAATTCCGCGTCGCTGTGTTATTGTTATCGAATTGACCTATACAATTATGCGATGCCGTTATATGAATTGAATCTCTCTCTTTATGTTCAACATATTTTTTTGGTTGGATTGTCAGATACCATGTTGCGACCGATATATTTTAAAGCTCTCTGAATTGATGACTGATGCCACGA